TTTTTCAGCTAAAACCAGCGGCAGACAAGGACACAAACAATCTCACACTCACATCACATGGCCACAAACACGCATTCCCCTTCGAATGCAGGTGACCCTAAGAAAAATGAAGCTTGCCAAACAACTGCCCTCTCAGAATCCCACCCTCCTTGAGAGCTTTTCAACTCATCGAGACCGTGCAGGGTCACAAAAGAAAAGGCTCACCCCTTTCCACTGGCCCTTGAGATAGCGCATCGCCCTGCTGCCCCGCCTATTGTCGACTCGGGCGAAAATACCCCCGCTCTCGAAAGCTGCGAGGGTGACAACTCCTGCAACCAGACTCAAGGAGCACCTCAATCTTCGCACCACATCTCAAAGGAATCCCCTTCCCAGTTGACCCGGTAGCCGACCAAGGGGACAATCGTTTGCGTGTCAAAATCGGTGATCAGAGTTCCCGTGGCCTCAACCTGTCTCAACGTTGTGACACCTGCATGCTGCCAACTCCACCTTGATTGGGATCGCCTTGTCATACTCAGCCTTGGAGCGAGCTGGCCTCAACACATGGGTGGCCCCACCATCCAAAAGAGCTCGGCAATGACCTCCTGCTGGTGTGACCGACTTCACTCCCAACATTTTCACCGACGGACGTAGTGACTTGGGGAGCTGCGCCACTTCCTTCACCAACTCCTCTGAAGGCTGGATAGATGGCGGAGTGAACATAGAGCCCGAGGTCTCCACCGTACCCGATGGAGCGGCTTCCTCACTCTTCACGGACACCTCCTTGTTCTTGCTATTCTCCAGAACATATCGGCAGACAGGTCGATGGCGCCGGCCTGCTTCAAGTGACCCTTGACATTCTTTGAGTCCGGCTTCTGGTTCTTGAGATCCTTGGACGAGCCGCCATCCTTGGCCTCAGGGCCATCGCGGTTCTTGTCTTTGGTGTCTTTGGTGTTGCCTCCATCATCATTTGGAGCTCCACCATCACCATCCAAGGTACGAACCTTTCACCGTGTCCTTCAAGCGACTCAGAGAACTGTTGCATTCCATTCTCAGTGGGCGCAACATCAATGCGAAGGGCAGCGCGAGTAACTTGAAGACGAAAGCCAGTCCGGCAGCATACTTATTGCTATCCAAGGTAGCCAGAAGAAGGCCAGGATCTGGAGGTTATGCCCAACTCTTGCACTCGCGTCAGCCAGCGACACCAAGCCCGCAGCCGAAGGAACTCGCTGCCTCGTTGTTCAATTCTCAACCATGGAGGTCGTTGAAAGGCCGAGGAGTCACCGGGGTCAACTTCAACCGCTCCATCGGCTCAGAGTTGAGCCACACCCGATACAGTGCCCCCGCCACCTGCAACACTTCATCCCACCACATCCATGAACTTGAACTGATGTCCCTCAAAAACGAGCCAATCGTGGTGAGCCAATCTCCAGCGATGAGCGGACCGATCTCGGATTCAGAAGGCTCTGTCAGCGTGGGAAGCTCAACCGCTTGAACCGACTCTTGTTGTGCCATCACGCAGGAAGGCCAGCGTAGGGAATGCCCGGATCCCCACCTCGACAGGAAAACCGCCAGGATACCCGCCTCCTGGAAATGCACCAGGACCACCTCCTCCATATCCACCAGGAGGACACCCTCCAAAATGACCAGGAGGACCGCGTCCAGGTAGACCGCAGACCCATACTCCATGTCCAGGCAAACTGCCCCGACCAGAAACGGACCCAGGAACCTCACTGGTTCGGAGAAAGCCCTGAACACCTGATTGATCTGGTGGTTGTGAAGGAGGTTCATAACTTCCATTCTCATGTGAAGGGGCTATTGTTTTCCCTCACTGCTGACGTGCTTTTATCCGCTGGCTGTGCCACCCTGGAGACCCACCGTCTCATAGTCCCTTGGCCCACCTCCACTCCCAGCCAACTAATGCACCATCTCTCCTGCAGCGGCGGAAGAGACCCGGTTGAACACTTCCATCAAACTCGTTAGAGCTACCTTGCCAAAGGGACCCTCCCGAATCGTTGTGAGCCGGTTGCTGTGCACGTTCGCCTAGGCCTGACAAAGGTCCCAATACCCTTCTCGTTGGAGTGACCAGACGCACCAATGACCGCTCTCTCGAACATGGTGCCCCACATGCCCTTCTCCGATCGAGATGCGCCGCCCATCGCACTCATCGGCCATGGAGGTTGACCGCCCCACGGACCCAGTTTCCAGTCGCACACGCACCCCTCCACGAGTCACGTTCAGACCAGAGCCTAGCATTCTCAGCGACCAAGCCCTGAATGAAGGCGCGCATGGTTTCTGGACCATCACGAGGTGGACTGGTTTGAGGCCCCCCCACGGGCAGCAATTCGGGCGACTCTTGTCGGAGATCTGCAGGCCGAATGGCCCTCAACACAGCTTCATCACGAGCTGCTTCTGACCAAGCCGCATTCCAGTTCTCTGGACCCAACACCACTGGTGGCCCCGAGGGCCTGACAAGGACCCCATCAGCAGGGCCGGCATCTTCGATGGCTCGCATGCCACCTGACTCCGCGATGCGCTCAGAGGTTGCACCCTCAGAACCCAAAAAGGGACGCGCTCTTTAGCGTGTCCTCGGGCTCATAACCCACACGGCTGCTAAACTGCCGCCTTCTTCTTTTCAGCATACAAAAAGGGCTTCAGATGTATACACACTCATATGCTCGTGCTTCGATTTCGGCTTTGATGATCCACCGGGGGACTTGACCCTCACCCCCCCACGCTATCACAGGGCCATGCGATGACAGTGTTGTGCAATCCTTGACGATGTTATGAAGCCGCTGTGAAACCGATGACATATTTGAACATTGGTGACAGCATAAACATAGACACAGCACCGAAATCCAAGGCGACCTAGTCCGCGGGCACCTGTATACTCTCCCCTGAAAGATCGTGCAAACAATTGCAGGTTGATGTGAAAAATGTCAAAAACAACGAATTTCAATTCTTTTTCTGGCCACATTTCTTTGCCTTTCTGTTTCTCCAGGACTGGAACCAAGAGATCCGGTTGTCTGGTGATCTTCGTTGGGCACCATTCGGGGCAACAGAAGCGGAAGAACTCCAATTAGCAGGATACGACATCTCAGTGGTCGATCCACAGCTGCAAATTTTCAACCAATACCTTAGGTTCGGTGCAGCATCGTTGGTCGAGGAACCCTTGGTGACTTTTCAGGTGTTGTGACGAGGCTAGAGGGTCATGGCATCATTGGTTGTTTCGTTTGGTACTGCTTCTATGATTGAAACCATTGATAAACGTGTTTGCCTGGGGTTCGGGTCCTTTCTTTTGGGCTGATGCTTTGCCCTTCGCAAGTCCTTGCAACTTGTCAGCCCGAAATCATTGTAGATGCAGAGTCAAGATTCCAGTTGACCAGAGCTACTTGAAACCCACACATTGAATCATTGCCAACAATTGTGCCGTCCTTTGCCGGTTGTCTTCGGAATATCCTGCTCACCTGCAGCTTCAACCCGCCTGCGGCCTACTCGATCTGAGGATGAGTGTGGGGTTGAGCTGCTGAAGCTAGGAAGAGTTCCTATGCAGATGGGGAAGTCTTACGAAACTTGGTGCAGAAGTTTTAGCTATGAAGATGTTGATGTGAAGAGAAACCAACGTCTATTATTTGTTAGACTCTTGAATTTTTGATTGTCATTTTTTTCCAAATTGACGGTTGCAATCTATGTGCGGCATTCAGATTTTTGGCTTTACTGAACACGCTGGGTCCATGACATGGTTTACTGCACGTGCTTCGTCAAGAACACAGACAGACAAACCCTAAACCTGCATCAACCTGCACATGGACTCGCTAATCACTACTGTAGCAGGAAACATAATGTCTGCGGTGTTTCGACTTTCAACTGAAAGGACGTGCAGGAGTGCTGCAGTTCGAACTGGTACTCCTGGATTATCCAGAATGAGCTCGTTCCACGTGACTCCTGGCTGATTGAGCTTAAGTCGAATTCTACGGCAAACCGACGTAAGTTATGTTATGTGTGTGTAGAGGCTTTTCTCTTGAATGGCAAGTGTATGTAGAAGCCTGTGCCTTGCAGTTGCCGGCTGACTGGTTATTGCAAAGCAAATTGTTGAACCACCTTATTTGATTGAATCAATTCACACTCGACTCGACATGGCCTCCCCAAACTGCCCAGGAAATGGTGGCCATATCAATCTCCACTTGGCAGGACTCTGCCAAATATGATTTACTGTAAGCGCGACATGCTCAAAACTAAGCCGAAATTGCGTGATTCCACCAAGACTGGTCATTCCAACTAGTTTGAGATGAGCAAGCAAGTTCATTCCAGTGGGTGCCACAAATGTGCCACTCCTTGAGGGAATCCTTTCATGGTAGGCCTACCTTGGGGTTTGGAGCCTACAGTGGTGTACTGGGAGGTCATACTGTACTATTCAATCTGTTCTGATAGCTCCTCAGGGGTTGGGTGAGGTTAGGTCATTCATCGATTCATCGGTATGCTTGTCCGTGGGCTCCTTGGCTAATGATCAATAGATCTCCGATGATCTCCGTGTCATTCCATGTCTCAAACCCCACGTACATCCAACAATTTTTGGCTGCTTGCTGCATCGCCTGCTTCCCCCAGATTTTTGCTTCCCACATTCAACTTGAATTGAGACGTTGCCAAGAACCCTAGAGGTTCAGGCAACTATGGCAAAAGGAGCTACTCGGACACACTCTAAACAACTCTCCAGGGGCTGTCTCCGCACAAAAGGCTAGGCGGGATGCGGCCCGTTGCCCAAGTGCAACGAAGGGAGGACTGTCCGCTGCGGCTGTGGCTGATGCAGTTCTTTGATCGACTGGATTGTCGGGGTACTGAGCAGCAAGTTCCATTTGGGCAAATTGCATGCCACCTCATTCGTGAATGCACCTTGCAAATTTGCAAATAGAAATTCAAATCAACAGCGCCTACGAACAACCACACCGGAAAGAAGGGATGTGAGTCATGTTCGGTTGGCTGTGTGTTCTTCTGTGACTGTTCATCCTCTAATGGAGCTCGTCTTTGTTCTGGTCTTCGTCTGGTGGACGCCATCTCAACATAGTTGATTATCTTCCACTGCTGTTTAATGTCATAGAACTGTTTCTTCGCACGCTTTGTGAGTGCAATTGGATAGTTGAGCTTCTGATCTTCAACCCATTGCGCACTTGAGGCTGAGTGGCTGAGTGTGTCCAAATCTGTTTTTGCTCGGTTCCTTTTTGACACCACTTCGGTGTTCACCTTGTCATACCTGCTGCTACTGTATTGACCAAGTTGTTCACCTGAATTTTGACGGATTGCCAAGGTATGGGTGAAATCACTTCATCGAAAATACCTTGTGTGCTGCTGACTGCTGCGGCATCAGACCATGTACCCAAGTCTGACAGTGGAAGTTTTGGTGTATGCCACCAGTGTTCCTCCAAGTTCTCACTTGGCGCAGAAGCTTGTTTTCCCGTCCTAATGTATCTACAGTGCTCCTTGTCACCTCTAAACGCAATTTATAAACCGCTGAGAAATGTACTTGCTGTCATCATATGACTCTTGTGAAAGAGAATATGATCCATCTGAATGTGCTTCTACCTTCACTCCACGTTGCGCATAACTTCTGGTGCGATGGTGGCATTGGTAAAGGAGAAGCTGGCAACATGGGTCTGACCAAAATCTTTGCAGTCCAAGCTGATCGAACAAGATGCTCACTGATTTGGAGTGTTCACCAACCCATAGCACGCACGTTTGACCCTGGTGAGGGTTTTTGGAGGCAAACCAATTGCCGCCAATATCTCTCGACATGGAAACTCAACAACTCTTCTTGGTCCGGAATATATATATAGAAGGGATCCTGTATATAACATCTCCTTTCCTTGTTGTAAATCCCGCCCTGCGCCTATGGTTAGCTGAATCTGCATAGTTTGTCTTGTTGCTGGGCCTATGGTTAGCTGAATCTGCATAGTTTCTTGTGGCTGGTCATGCTGTAGCTTGTTGTTCATAGTGAGGATCTAAAAATTCAACAAGGCTGCTCAGGCTTTGGCTTTGACTCCTCCTTCAGGGAGTTTTCTTCCATGTCAGGATCCATCTCATTCTATGTATTTGCATCTTCTCTCAATTGCCTTGGCAGCGATGAAGTTAGTGACATCCATATTCCTCGCTGCTGCAAATGCCTTCTTCTCTTCCTCCCCTGAACTTGGCATATCAACTTCCACTACTACCATTGCTGAAACCTCTTTCCAGAAGTCATGACTTTTTGTCAAGAAGGTGGAATCTTCCACAGCAACAACACCAAGGCCCGGTTGTTATGGTCTACTTCTAGATCGCGCTGGTAGCTTGTTCGAGGGTCTGCGTCTGGTGATGTGCTTTCGATAATTATATAGTGGGCTGGGCTGTCTTCCGCCGTGTGTTGACATGTTTGTTGCGGCTGTCTCGCATGTGGTTGTCGCCGTTGCTTGGGTGACTGTGAAGCATGACTAACATAGGCATAGGTATGACAAACATGACTGTCGGTGAAGGGTGATAGTGATTCACTATCACTCTTCACAGACAGTCATGTCATGAACAACACCCAAATTTGAATGTGCAGTTTGTTCCGTTCGAACACTTATCTGCTAACTGATGGCCCTCTCTTTCACTGGCAGACGGCAGATCGGAGAAGAGCTGACCCCTACACGTAGTCTCGTTGGCTTGGAACTGGTGTCCAGAGTTCTCATAACAATCCTTCGTGAGTGGTGCCCAGTGAACATCGAAAGCGGGGCCTGATGTGCCCTTGTGCAGCGTGATCTTGAGCTCCTGACGGCCCGTCGCCTGGATGCGCATCCACTGAGCCGAGATTTTTGTTGCTATTTATTGCTATTATTTTCCATTGTTGTTTTATGTGTATATATATAAATTTTAAAGGGGGAGGGTAGGCCGAGAAGAGGTAGTAGCTAGGTAGCTAGTAGAAGCTACGGAGTCGCTAGAAGCTTAAGTAGCTACTACCGACAGGACGCAGGATAGCTCAAGCTTCTTCAAGGAAAAGCGCTCGCACTGGTGATTTGGTGCCTAGATTTTTGGGAATGTAGACTCTGCAGTGGTGCTCAAGACTCAAGACCTGATCTGTCATGCAGATGAGCGGGGTCTGTTGGAACAATCCTGGGCCTTGAGTCTTATGAGCAACGCCACAGCTGAGGCATCAAGCCTGAGGTGGTCCCGCTGGACTCCTTTCTTACAAAATTGTCACGCCTCCTAAACGATGGATAGCAATTCTACATGTCTATAGTACTGACATGTACTGACGACTCAACTCCACACAGTGCTGTTTGGCAAGAGCCTCTCTCAATGTTCTAAAGCAATTTTCCATCAAAGCCAAAGCCTCTTGATGCAGCCTCATTGATCAACGTTATCCCATTGGCATTCAATCCCGACTGAATCAACCAAGCCACGTTGGATCTCTCCTGATCACCAGAAAAGGGGTAATCTTGGTCAAGTTCCTCAGTCCACCATGTCCTTGGTCTTGGCGTTTGATGTCCTCGTCATTTCACTGATTGGGAAGCTCTTGTGCCACCTTTGTCAAATAAAGTTGCTCTATGCAGCCATGATCAGGTTCTTTTGTTGTCCAGCATCCTGCAAAAGGAACCCACCTTGAACCTTGAAAGAATTCCGGTAACAGATGAAGGTCTGCCTTGTCTTGGCTTGTGGTCGGAATATTGCTTCCGTTCTGTTCCATCATGAGGTCTATCCAGAAACGGTCACGATGTCATCCATTCTATATAATCCCACTAGGACCATTGTGATCATTGCCAATCGTGCCATAGGTCTGTGGACCAGCCTGCCTGAGAATCTTGTTCCTGCCCCATTCTCATTGGCTGTCTCCTCAGGACCCTCAAGCGCACCCTCGTACTGAGCTTCACCCCGGTGGGATCATAACTGTTGTCCTAGCGGGAGAATGCACTCGTCGAGGATTGGGGATGTTCCAACGAAGGTCAAGGCGTTCCGTAACGATCCTGGGCTCGTCGCAAGGTCATCTCTGCATGGGCATCCGGGCATACAAATTCTGCTTTCCTCGTGATGTACTTACTGACAAATTCGTTTCTCTTCTACCTTGCTTAAAGTACTTTGTCATGAAATCCGACATCTTCGCACTTAGGCAACCCAAGATGCTGCCATCGGTGAGCCAACAATGTCTGAACTTCTCGCCGCGTGCTACCCAGCCTGCCCTCTTGGACAACACAAATATGCCAGCAGCCCCGGAGATCTCATTCAACAATCTTGCTCCGGCACACTGTGCCTATATCAATATCTTTTCCATTTTCCACAGAAAGTGTTTTGGTGACAAGCAGCACGGTCTTCGTGAGTGCTTCGAATCAGATATGTTAGAGTTTGCTGAAATTCTTTTGCCTATGCGTCAGGACATTGTTTTGATGTCCGCACCGTCTTTGCTTGGCAGGACAACTTGGCCACGACAATTCCTATCTACACGAGCCACATGTCCTGCATTCACAATGCGTAATCGAATGAGGGTGTTGCAGATTCAGAAAGATTGTCAAGGGTCGGAGTGCTCAGCAAATGCCTAGGAAATCATTAATCCGAGGCTTGCTTGACGACACATAATTCCTTACAGGTTGAACCAGTCATTGACATGATTACAGGGGGGCCGGCATCGAGAAACTGGACAAAGCTTCCTTGCTTATCCGTGTCAGGCTTTATCACGAGCACAACATTCCTCACTGTGACATCCACAACTGCTACTGTGCCCTGACGATATGAGCAGAAGAAGGAAGGCAAAGATTTGTTCCAATTGGCACTCACTGATGGTCTGTTGTTTCAGTTGAACGTTCAATTGTCCTGCAAGCGCCCATGGTCAACCATTCCATTGTCAAGTGCCCGTGCTTGTTGCAACGGCATCTCGTGTAATCGCTGAGGCGACCTCAATCACCAGCAGCTTGGACTTTGTACTGGGGCATAGTGAATATTGTACTGTACTTTAGTGCACCGATACTTGCTAGTGTGACCAAGTTCAACTGAAAAGTACTTTGCAATACACGGCATGTATTTTGTGAATTGTGTTACTCCCCTTCAAGTCGTGCTTTAAACACACATAATCAGCAGCTGTCAGCTGCCAACGAAAGACGAAAGCCCCTGATTCTGGCAGTGGTTCGTTTCAACTGTTCAAGATTCAAGATAACCCACAGTATACCTCAACGATCCTGCACATTGTGTGTGTGTTGGCACATGGCAGAAGACTGTGTATTTTGAGAATATTCATCGCACACGCGTGATTTGACTGCAGGCTCCAGCGTGACTTCGACAACTATGTCCCTCACGACCACTGCTTCATTGACTGGGACCACAGCTACTGTTACCTTGACCACGGTCACGGCTACTACAGTCACCGCCACCAGTACTTCCACGTCCTCTCAGACTCAGACACTTTCAACCACAACAAGGACAACCGTGACCACCACCACTGTGACCTAGCACCATTTAAGGCATTTGTTATCCCCAAATCGACAATATTGTTTTGGTACAACAATGCTCAACCTTCTGCATTTTATATGCTGCATGTGACACATCGTAGCTTCCTTGACACAAGTGCATTCTTTACAAACCATTATATACTGTATTTGATGCTATTTTGGAGGCCATCGCTTTTAGGTTGGAGGCCATCCTCTATTTTCTTGCTCGCTCAGGTGACTGCCACCGTGGAGGCACCCGCTCAATTGGAGGGTTGCCGCGACCCCAAGTTTGCTTGGGCTTTGTGCAGATATTTTCAGGCAATCGCAGATGAGGTTGCACATGGCTTACAACATGACGGTTTGCTGTGTTACAGATCTCCGAAAGGAATGTAGAAGATAGTGGGTTGCTTGAACCCACCAGGTGACAAATTGAAGTGTGAGTCCCAACCATCCCAGACGTTCCACGACAAGGTTGTGGCACAAATTGCGGACACGTTCATGGATTAACATATCTAATCCTTATTTAATCCTTTTCCAGTAAGGCTGGCAACAACTTGCATGCATAAGTTCACCCTCATCTATTCTATATATTCAGCATTTGTACCATTGAACACTCAATTCTGAGTGTCATTGGCTTTAGGCGCCTTAAAAAGACCGTCTCCAAATGTCTGAGCACTTTCCCTACAAAACGTTGCTTTGACCAAGATCCTCTTGGAATGTGTGAGACTTGCTCAACCAAGACTGCCAGTGTGAAATAACACTTGTGCACACATCATAGTGGCTACTTCGGAATGCACTGGCCCCAAAGATCTCATTTGGAAAGGAGTTTGAAGCCTAGCGTATAATGTAGAATTGGCAACCACAAGTGACAGCCCAGTAGAATTGTATTCCCGCACAACTTAAGATTGTTCATGTGTATAAGCAGCTGGTTGATTGACCCCACACGCGCTGCTCAAACGAGCCAGTCCCAATTGATTGATTAGGTACACTTGGTCACCTGGCCCATGATTCAATGTATGCAACACTAGTGACGGATGTGCACACGATGTGCACAACCCTTCCAAGGCATAGGGCTGTCAGTCTCCGATGCGGACCTCTTTGCAGAATCTTCGGATGCGAAGGAAGCCTTCAGGAAGGTCGGGCTGATCCAGCTAGATCACGAAGTGCAAATAGCATTGAAGAGTTGCGCAAAAAAAGAAACTGATGAGACAAAGTAAGGAGATGAGACAAAGTTGTGACCCAAAAGGCAACTGATTTGCAGACTCATCATTGACCATCAGCTTGCTGAACTTCTCTGAGGATGTTTGGTGAACAGGTTGCGGGTCCTTGCACGATGCCTTGCACTTGCTGGGCCCAGCATGGGTTAGTGGCAATGTAGTTTTAGAGCGCAACATCGCGTGCTGTATCTCGTGGGTGCTCGAGGGATGTGGCTCCATATCGTGCTTGGGACATGGTTGACGGACCATGATGGACCCATATGAGAAGATAGATGAAGGACATCGAAGGACCATCAATTGTTGCTAACTGTGACTTTTGGTGTAGGGATTTACTGGGTTTGCACGGTCAGTATTGATACAGTAACTGCTCTGTTTGTGGTGTGCTTCGGCCCTTTCTCATAGGTGTGCTCTCCTGGCTCTTATATCATGTAAACACGATGGAACCCAATGGTGTCCCCTAATCAAACTCCACACAAAGAGTACATTGTTGCCTCGACATCCTTAGACATCCTTGGATCGTTCCCGGATGCCGTATTGACGGTGTTTGGCACTCGTTTGGTAATGAAAAGACGAGCAGATCTTCAGGCACTTGAAGCCTAGATCACACACCACGTGGTAGGATTCAGAGACGATTTCTTCGCTGCCCTTGCTGCCTTTGTCGTAGTCAATTCTGGCTTAGCTTTCTTGAAGTCCTTGCAGGAGGTAAACTGGTACACTGCGAGCGTTGGATAAGAAACCGTGTTTGACAAGACCAGGCTCACGGTCCCATGACTCATGACAAATCTTATATACAAGTGAGGTCTTTTGAAGCTTCAAACCTCAAGGTTCCTCATTTCTTAAAGGTTCAAATCCCAAGATGCCTGGCTCAATTCTTCTATTTTCTCATGCCTGCCGGGCAAGGACCTCTCATTTTCTTGTGGACATAAGCAATCATAAGTGGGTAGGGGGATACATCAAACACCACCAGCCCCTAATTTTATTTGTCAAGGTTTTCTGAAACAGGACTAGGGAGCTGTATTCACTTCATGCCCCTTCCCACTTCCATGGTGTGAATCCCTTTTTGGAAAGGTGTGGGGCTGGCTGAGATATCTCAATGCTTTTCTGCACTGATGGGCACCTGCGCCACGTGCGCCAAGACAACTGCTTGAAAAGCAAGCTCTTTGTCCACTTATATAGTGCTCGCCATCTCCTCGAACCTGTCTCTGTCGCTCGGGGTACTGTGAGACCACTGACTCATGGGGTAAGTGATGCTAGCAAGTGCCTCACCAAGCCCAGTTGTCACAAGAAAGTACAGCTCTTTCAGCTTAAAGCAGACGATCTGTCCTTGCAAAGGCCAGACCCCGTGGAGACAGCTTCGCATGTGTTCGATCTTGTTGAAACGATTGCTTTGATGAACCTAGCGTTGTTGGCTGGTTCGTGACTACGAGCTAGCCTGAGATGTGGCTCAAAGCATGCTGGGTATGACCTTGTGTTTTGCTTCAGCTTTTCTTTGTCCCACTGTGCAGGGAGTTATTATATATATAATATTGTATATATATAAAATGTATATAAATACACATCATGTATGTTATTTTTGCAATTGCCTTCTCTTTTGTCCAAGGCTTGCCAGAACATGCATCGTTCAGACTCTTTTTGGGTCGTCTAGCACTTTTCGAGTGCGTAGCGAAGAGTTCTGGTTTAACTGTGGAGGTCTGGGGCAGTCTGAGGGTAGAGCTTTGACCGATAAGGCCCTCCCGTTGCGGGAATCTTTTGGAGGTCAGGTCTGAAGCATGAAGTGTCAAGTTCGTCTAATAGAAGCGTCCTCTTGTTCCTAGTAGCGTTGCCCTTTGTTACGTTCGTAGTAAGGCCAGGAGCGCCCCTAGTAGCGATGCCAGGAGCCCTGTTCGTAGCGTCTGATCGTTCCGTTCGGAGCGAAACCAGAAGGTGTTTCGTGAGGTCAGCACCGAAAGCGTCGTGCCATTGGCACCCTTGGGATGATTTGGGACCCTTGCGCGTAGCAAACCCATTGAATGTGAGGATTTGCTTGGGATTTGCACTTGCCTCGCCTCAAAGCCGTGTTTTCTTTCGTGACTCAGCTAAAGTCGTGATGGCAATGCGGCATGGCTTTTCGTGGCAATGCCTCCCACAAGAGCGTCCTATGACAGTGTCGCACAAGAGGGACCTACAACGAATGTTCAGGAAAAGTGTGGCACACGAGCGTCCCACATGTGCGTGGCCTGCAAGAGCGTCTTTTCAGAAGAGTGTCGCATAACAGTGCCAAACAAAAGTGTCACACAAACGTGCTCTACAAGAGTGTCCTAGAAGAGTGTCACTCCGGGATGCTTTTCAATAGTGTGTTTCAAGAGCGTCTAGCAAGAAAGAACGTTTGGCCATTTGTGCTTGCGTACGTGCGTGCATTCGGGCTCATCAGCTCCATCTTCTTTTACCTGATGATGAACAACTTGAGCAACTACAACGTTTGCTTCAAGAATGGCTTTGCCATCATCACATGATTTCTCAATCCTTGATGTCGCCCTTTATATATTTGGTGAACCTTTGCACCTTCCTATGCGTATCGAAGAAGATGCTTGCGAGTGCAAACTCAATTAAAGGAACCACATGGACAGACCCCAAGGCTGTGATTGTTTCAAGCACTGAACGGGGGTTGGGCATTGAGAATTGTTCAATCCGCGCAGACGTTGGCACAAGCTGCCGGTGATGGAGTGGAACCAGAGTACGTCCAGGAGAATCCGCGGGTGCAAGAGGTTCAACGTTCTTGATGCATCGCACTTGAGATGACAACCCCATGTTGCTTTGCGATGGTAGAACGCCCCGAAGCGTGTGTATAGTAAGACTTCTTTTTGTGGCACGAATTGAGTATATACTTTGATTGCATCACTTGGTTTGGCGAACACGGCCGTGGGCCTTGCTCTAGTGGTGATACTTAAATTATCTTAAATTGACACTTGGGCACGAACACGAACATCCAAGGTTCGGCTCAGAGCAATTGATCCTGGTTTTGTTCACACAACACATTTATCGTTTGTATTATGTTGACAACAAATTTTGTCACGAAGGAACTCGAACAGATTACTCCCAAACCTTTGAGTTCTACCAATGCCGCCATGTTGTCACACTGCAGGAATGCAGAAACACATCCACATCAGTTGCATCTACGATGCGAACTCCGTTCAAACTGACCTAATCGCTGAATCGCAGAACTTGTCGTTTGCGAGTGAACCTTCGGAGGATTAGCTGTGCTAGCCAACCTGCAAATCTGCTGTTATGAAGTTGTCTGGTGTAAGTTGACCCACATATAGGCTTGTGCTATTTAGCTTGTGCAGGATTGTGTTGCGCAAGTTGACCAACCATTTTTTCTGATTATCATTGGCGTGCTTGTGGCATACCTTTTGACCTGCCTCGAATATATTTATCCGCGTTGCTGTATCTTCTGATTTTTTGTAGAGCTTGCCAGCTTTGCTAGTATGTGCATGCTTTGTCCAGCACGTATGCAGCATGCAGTGTATGCTTTGTTGTTTTTTGTTTTCGAAGCCAAGCCTTTGCCTTTGCCGTCAGAAACGGCAGGACCTCACCGTCTCCGTGGGCCAAAGCTGTGACGCTCGGCGTTTGGCACAGCACGGCGTTCTCGTCTTCAGCAGCGACACGGAGGGCAGACGGCTCCAGGAAGCGGTGAAAGTTGACTATGCTCCTTGGGCAGAAGGAAGAGATAATAAACTTGAAACAAAGTATGGAGAAAGAAGAAACAAAGTAAAAAGGAAAAACTTGAAACTGATAAAGGTCTAAAGAAATACTGATAAAGGAAACGACAGATCAGTCAGGTAGAGTTGCAGATGTCTTCTCGGTTTAAGGAGGGGCTGTAGGGCGTGGGGGTCAGGTGGGGAGACGGTAGCTAGTAGTAAACATGTTCCCTAGTAACAAGGACCCCTGCCGGTCCTTGCCCTTTGAAAAACGCAAGCTTTTGAGGTGCTTCCAATGGCACTTCTGTTTTTCCCCAGAGCTGAGGTCATCGTTTTCCCTGCAGCCTTAGGAACCGAAGTGGCAATACAGGCTGGACTTAGCTGAAGCAACCGAAAGACACTTAGCTTCTTTCACCCCTTGCAGAGAGTGACTTTGAACGGAGATGGACAAATAGTGCATGTTACTTGTTGTTTTCAGGGTTTGGGGGCTATAAGGACAAGTAGCCCTTGGGCTTCTTGGTGTTGACTTTTGTTGACTTCACTCCAGTTTTTGTTACATTCATGCTCAAGATTGTTACCTGAAATCACGGCTGCTTTGTTGGTTGCGGTTCTTGCGGCTTTGGCTTTCTACCGAGTAGCCCGCCGGAATGAAATGGGGCACCACCCAAGCTCGTGAACCACTTGACTTCTTGGTCTGAGAGTAAGGAAGGACGTGCAGTTGGTGTCTAAAGAAACAGTAGAAAACACAGGGGAACATAGGAACCTAGTTGTTTCACCAAGAAATGTTGCAGCACCCAAACATTCAACCGGGCTACTCTTGTATACAGTCCGCTTATTTCTGAAGTCCAAGCATTGTCAAAAACAACTTCTGGTGCAAATGGCGCTGAGTTCATCTCATGTGGTGCGGCGTGTTTGTGTCAAATTTTGTGAGTTAAGTTGTAGGTATTGTATTTTCACTCCATGTAATATGTACACTTTGTACCTTGCACATAATAGGATGTCATGACTTCACCTTTTGCAGCTCGCGGCCCAAAACAGGAGTTGCAGCTTAACGGCTGTTTCTATAGGTTATCAGCCGTAGTGCTCTAACCACAGCCATGGACGCTCTTGCTATTCCTGGGAACGGTACATCATCGGTAGCAGTCCCAGCCGGTCTCATGACCGAGCCCACGGTGGATCTAGATGACCCAATGGGTTCAGCTCCTGTCACAGCTTACTTTCAGTTTGTGCAGCAAAATATCCAACAGGTGTACAACGGAAACGAAGACGCTATCATTGCTGAGGCAGAGAGAAGGCACAAAGAAATAATGGGACAATGGCTGAACATGGTAAAAACCAAGTTTCGTCAAGCAATCGATGAAGTAGCGAGCAAGCATCATGAGGAACTCAGTTCGGTAAAGCAACAAGCTCAATCTAGCTACAATCAAGTACAAGGGGAACTAAGTAAGTGCTGCAAAAGCGCGAATCCTCAAGCTAGAGAGTGAAAGGTCCATTGAGGCTGAAGCCAGAAAAGCAGAACTGGACTCCTTGCGCATTCAGCTCATGCACGATTGTCAGCAAACTGTCGCTGCCATCACCAGTGGTGCTGAGCAAGGTGTGGCAACGCTTCGTGCAGAGTTCGATGAGCGGGAAACTCAGCTTCGACGTGAGCTACGTGACGCAGAAAATGAAAACTATAGTCTGCAGCAAATGCTCGATGACCTTAAAGCCAAAATGCATGCTGGACCCGAGCTAGAGTATCATCCAACAAGTGTCATGAACACACCAGTGTCTACCCCTAGACATGATGACACAAAGAGGAAAAATCCTCTGGAGACCATTGCAGCAGAGGCTACTGCACGTTTGAGTGGACTGCTCGCACCCAAAGCGTCGAGGGCCACCATCATCGGTGATGCCCCACAAGGGGCAGCTGCTCCTATCAAGCCCGTGCTTCCAGTTTACGGAGGCACCGTAGCGGATGGGGGCAAAACACCGACAAATTTGTTCCATAGCCCTGCACCTTCAATTCGCGAACCCCATAAGCCAGCGTCGTCAGGTGCTATCACCTCTGAGCAGGTGATTGAACTGGTCAAGTCACTCACTCAAAGAGAGTCAGATGAGAAGCCAAAGGTAAAGGAGGCAGATCATATCAAGTTGAATGACATGCCAACCCCTGAAACCTATCGGCAATGGAAACACCATGTGAGGGACGAAATCAAGTCATGTTCTGACAAACCAGATGCGGCCTGGGACTGGTTAATGGAGGTTTACAACACCGTCGATGAGAGAAAAGTTCTGGAAGAGCGGTTGTCTAACCCTGGGAAGTTCACAACGTTGGATACCAAGTTGGCAGCCGCACTGACCAGAAGTGCAAAGGGTGATCTAGCAAACCGGATCATCAATTACAAAGAAGAGAAGGCAAAGCTAGGCATCCAGGTTCGAGGAAGGATGATTCTTCTCATGTTTGATGACTATTTCAAGACCTCGGAAGAAGCGGGTAGCCTCTACAGGGTTGAAGATCTCCTCAATGTGGTAAAGGTAGGCGATACTGTAGCGGACTTGAAGCGTTTCATCAATCGCTGGGACGCTACCATCGCTGGTATGCCCGAACCACCGCACGAAAACGTGCTTCGAGACATCCTTTTGAGGCAGATCCGCACTAGCACAATCCTGAGGTACGACATCGATCTTTTTGATCGTGCAAAAGAAGGTGACCATCATCGGTCTTACAAGTTCCTACTGCAAAGTATCAAGGACCTGATAGATCGGGAACGCCTTCGCGAGAATCGGTCACGTATCGCTGAGCGAAACCGGCTCAAGCCAGGTGATCGACATGAGAAGAACGCAGCCCCTACCGTTGATCCTCGGCGGAAGCG